ACTCTCTCCCCCCTCACCCCACTCCCTTCCCCCTCCCCACCTCGCCTCACCCTGGTCACAGTTGACTCCCTGCCATCCAGGCTCACTGGCAGCACAGAATCCGATGTTCCTGCTACATACGCCGCCCTCACCCCCCTCCCCCTCTCCCGACTTGGAATATAACCCATGTGCATGCAAAGGCAAAGAGCTATCCACTACGCCACAGACGCCAGTTTTACAATGCTCTCTTACCCACTCAATGTCTGCTGCAATCTTTGTACTGACCCTCCCAGACTCTCTAGATTTATCCTTTTTGAAGTACCAGGGAATGAGACTGCAGACCAGCTATCAAAGACTGGACAAAGCCTCCCCCAGACAGACACAGCCGCCTCTTTACAGACCTGCAGAGGGATCATCCAAGCCAAAAACAGAGACGAGTGGCTAAACAGATGGGTCAACGCAGAAACAGGAAGATCTCTCTTCGGGTACATGGACAAACCCAACCCAAAGACCCTTCGAATCTTTTATGAAGAGCCGATTAGACATTAATCTTCAGAATACGCATAGGACACTTATACACCAACAAGCACATAAACAGAATTAACCCCATGTGGGAACCCCATTACAGACACTGTGATTACCATGAGGAGACCGTTGAACATCTTCTCCTTCACTGCCCAAACCTGGCAGTTCTTCGACGCAAGCTCCTACACACACCTACCGACTTACAAAGCCTGCTCTACTCTGGCGTTGACCAAATGACAAGGACATGTGGTTACTTGAGGGAGGCATTGTGCTGCCAAGAGCGAAATGCTCACAGCTAAAGGGATTTGAAAACAACAACAACATCCTTTTTGAGCCATACTAACCCAAACCTGCCTTCCCGTCATGGTGCCATACCGGCTTTTACCGTTTTTTCTGCTGTAGAGCCATACCAGCTTTTACCGGCCTGACACACCCGCCTTTAGTACGGGCTTAAAAATGTGAACATTCCACTACAAGTTTAGATGCTGATGTCCTAGGTCTTTGTATGTAAAATTTCAATTGAAATTCGTTGCTTAGATCAAAAGCAAAGGGGATTTATTTGCTACACTCCCTGAAACTCTGAAAAACATTGAAATAATTTGGTTCTGGGAAGCCATCCCCTGGCCGCCATTTTTGTTCTGTTGTGCTGACCTGCTGACCCATTTATGGTGCTAAAAGGGCTAAGGTCCATAATTCAGGGCTGCGATGTTGTGACTTACTTACCTAACTTTACGAATGTCCTGGTACTCGATGTACTTGTCGTTGGTGATTCGTTCCCTCTCCTCGTTAGTGGAGCTGAAAGGGTAATAGTGCAGCAGGAAAGGCCACACCTCATGTCGAATGCTTGGTTCAAGGCCACCAAAAAATATAGCCTGGATAAAAGAAAATTATTTCTAAAATGTTTCAAAAGCAGATTTTGTGACCTTACAATTTTGAGACTATTTTTAGCTTATGGCGTTAAGGGTCAATTTTTGTTACACACAAACTATCAAAAGAACTGAAGACATTCAAAATCTATAAAATGTACATATAATGTGAGATTCCTGTTCGTCTGTTTCTACAGCTTGTAGACATTTTGTGCAGCTTGAGTTCTACGTCACTTGCAACACAGTATGGTCATATAAAAGCCGAAGATTACAGGTGTTGAAAGACAGTAATGAACACAAAAAGAAGTAGGAGAGATAAGGACGATAAATGTTTGATAGGAAAGAAGGAACAAACCATACTAGAGTATTTTATAAAGCTCTCATGTGGGTTTTAAACAAGCAAAACAACACCCACTGCATAATGATGGTGAAGATAGTCATCAACAGACATCCAACGCACACAGCTAGCCACTCACTAAAACAGTAGATTATGGGACCAGAAATATGGACACCGCAAAGACAACCTCCCCATGACACCAGTGCTCTAGTACAACCTCTATAAATTTTTCATTCGCTTTAGCTGTGTATCCCTGCATATAGTTCTGGAACGAATTCCAGTCATCCCTAATCGACAAACGCTCCAACCATAACATCACATTACAATATTTTTTAAAGCAGATAAGAAAGGCGTATGTGGCAGGGGAAAACAATGTCCCTGCTTTTTCTTCTTTAAGTGTCAGATTTGAGACATACACTGGTGTATATAGTTTGCTACTCGTTTCTCTGCTCAAGTGTTCTCAAAAAACCTATATTTTCCTGGCATTTTGTTCATCACACATCTCTTCCAAGTTTTTTTTATCAAATCTTTTCAAAATTAAAAAAGTTTTTTAAAATGTGAAAGGTTCGTGTAACATGACCAATTCCATAATTGCAGTTTCTTAACCTGTTGTATCGGTTGCATATACTCATGAAATACCTGATCAAATTTCAAATTTTCAATGTTGAAAAGGCAAGAATGATACATAAGGTAGGTACAATTTGTACAGGAATTGAAACAATGCTTTTTCTCCCCTGAACAGCTTGCCATCATATCTCACCTTGCGTAGTTGGAAGACGTCTTCAATACTGCCGTCAGCTAACATGTGCTCTTGCCACACTTCCTCTGTGACAATGGGGTATAAATGCTCCTCTGGGTGACACTGATCATCTGTCAGGTGAGGTTTGACCACCAGGAACTGCCGGTACGGTTTATCTCCTTCCCCAAGCTGACTCTGGTGGACAGCAACAGAAGAAAAAAAAGGAAGGGGGGGGGGGAGGGGATATTAATGCACAAGAAAGGGGTAACAATATGGGCTGGTCCTTCAAAGGAATTTTAATACAAGTGGAATGGCAAATGCCATGGGCATGCCTTTCTTCATTAAAGTCTAGATATTTTTTGAAACAATCAACCCATCTTTACTCCAAAAAAACAAACATCAAACAACACTGACAGATCTAATTCCACATAGACTGAGGTATTCTCACATAATACTGCTACAACATGGCATTAATCATGAATGGCACAAAACCTCAAAGGTCGAACGATCAAAGACAATATCACAACAAGCACTATTCAAAAAGCAAAGTACAGACCTCCCAGCAGAATGGTTGTAAATAAACATGAAAACTGTTGGGGGGGGTTTTATGGTTGTTCCTGCCCTTTTTTAATAAATGATCCTTTTGTGCTTAGTTGACAAAAGAGAATGTGCGAATATTATTCTAATAATATCGCAATAAAGCCGAATCAACAGAATTAACAAACGGAAAAAAGTATAAAGAACAATGAGTTTGCTAGTGTATTTTTGTTATTATTGCTAGAACATCATTCATTTCGCCATCTGGTTTCTCAGTCATTTTCCATAATATCTTGAAAGAAACAATATTAGTAAGTCAAATTCTCTACAGCAACAAGGTTTAGCTTCATCATTTACACACTGACAACTTGAAGACTGCATCAATAAAAAATCAAAGTTAAAAAAACCCAACCTGGTCAGTCTCGTGGGCGAAGAGGCTCCAGTCATCAAATATCTGCGCCAGTTTGTCCAGGCCTCCATTGTGAAAGTGAAGGATTTTGTACTGGCTCTCTCGGCTGGCTATCACCACCTGGCCTTGGGTGCACGCCTCGTCATTGTAGAACAAGCGTAGAGACCGCATCTCACCTGTCAACATTTTTCGTCAGTTTTTTTGTAAATATGTAAAGTTGGAATTTGCTTTCAACAACAGGTGCAATCAGCGGCCACAGTGACTGTCTTTTTGTGTACGTGTTCATTGGTCAGAAAACAGATGCATTTATGTTTTGGGAAGATTGTTGAACACTGAATGGGCCGATATGCATTGATATATCATGAAACATCTCATTGTGTACGGTCACAATTTTTTATTTAACTTCGTTATGAAGCATCTGGAGACACCATGGAGTGGGCACTATAGAAGGGATCTTTATTTTTATTATTTATTAAATGTTGAATGCCTCCATGGCCACAATTTAGGTAATTTAGGAAGTGGGCTACTTCAACCCCATCTGAGTGGAATACAACATCCCAGCAGACAGATGGAAATATTTGATTAAAAAAATTTTGTAACCATCCCTCATAAAAACTGAATTCATATCTTCAGCATGCAATGACAATCTAACCACAGCACCACAGACATCGGTTCGTGAATGTTTGTAAGGAAGTTGTCATCAGGACTTTACAACATTGACTAAATTCGGGGATCGGTACTATTTCCCACTGGGAGGTTACTTGTTTCACAAGTCATTCAGACATTACAAGACATATTTCAGACAAATTTCAAGAACACAAAACAAAGAGCTGAAACAGACTGACATGTCAGACAAATTTAAAGAACACAAAACAAAAAGTCCAAATGATAGATTAACACTTGGACTTTTTGTTTTGTGTTCTTTAAATTTGTCTGACATGTCAGTCTGTTTCAGCTCTTTGTTTTGTGTTCTTGAAATTTGTCTGAAACACACAAAACTGCTCACCCAAGTCCACCGAGAAAACCCCACAAATCTGCTCCTTGGCCGAGCGCCTGGGTCCTGAGCTGGAAGCTGTCATGGCATTTTCGGGGAAGGTCAAGTTGTGAGTGAAGCTGGGAGAGCTGCAACTGTTGGGTGACCCGGGCTGGTCAGCACTCCAGTCTTGGATGGGAGACAATGGCACTACAGGACATGAGAAGTAAGAGTAACTAACATTGTCAGACTTACGTTTGTTTTAATAAGAGTTTTATGGCACTTGCAACACAATAAGGTCATATAAAAGCTGAAGATTAGAGATGTTACACCAAACATTTAGGCAATAAAGGAAGAGGAAGCATTGCAAAAGGTAGATTGAGGGTGCCAAGGAGACCCTGGGAAATCATAATATCCCAATTGAAAGAGCTGCAGAGCTGGATTACCATAGAAAACTGCATCTCCCCACGATGCTTAACGGCAACAGAGGATGAAAAAGTAAGTAAATAAAGTGCAAGAGAGTAACAAACGCAAAAAAGGAGAAGAGATGAAGACAATAGGTGATAGGAAAGAAGGAGCAAATCACATCAGAGCCCACGCAAGCCACCCACTCACACTTACAAAATGAGTTTTCATTAAGCATCAGTAAATAGAAGCCCACAGACACAATAATAGGCATTTGGTATTCATACAGAGATTGTCAACTTTCTAACCTGCATAAAGAGCCCTTTTCAGTTCTCAGGAATTCGTAGTACACAGTTAAGCATATATACAAGGCATAACCAGCATTTTCTATTTCCAATAATATATGAGGAAACTTTTTCAAGTCTTCTTTCAATTTATATGCTCTGACAGAATTCTGTTAAAACTTAAAAGACACGCCATTGTCAAACAGCACAAACGACGACAATCATTCATATAATTAATTTCCAAAACTGACACCACTTCGTAAAAGATGACAATTTCAATTCAGAGTTACTGGAAGAAAACTGTCAATTTTTTTGTGTTCTTACATTATAGCTTAGTTTGATTTGCCTAAACCTTATGCCATCTCTCATAATTTAAAATAGAACGATGATTTTTAGGGGACCTATGAGAAATATTTAAACACCCTGTCTGTCAAACAGTTAAAGCATAACACAATCTAGGCATACAGACAAACCTGCTCAAATAGCCACCTGTACAAACAATAACTCTCCCCCCCCCCTGCATTATTCAAAATATTACAATGTTGAAAACGCCTGTCTAAAACAACCCCTTTTTCTCCTCGGCAGTAAGTAGCCATCTTGACTCCTCGGCAGTAGGTGGCCATCTTGAGAACAACTTCGACAGTATTTTTATTTTCAAGTAAAGCATAAAAATGTATCCCTATAAACATGCATCTCACCCGAACCTCCATCGGAGCTGCAGGGAGAGACGGGCCTTGAGTCTGGCCCCGAGGTTGTCGTGGAAGAGCTGGAAGAGGTCCTGGACTTGGCCTGTGTCACACTCACATCCGGTGTGATGGCCGGCGTGTTGGGAGGCGGGCGGTTGCATTCCAGGATCTGGAGATCAAGTGGTACCTGCAGACAGTTTTTTAGATTATATGAAAGAATTTCATGGCACTTGTGGCTCAATTAGGTCATATACATGCCAAAGACTAGAAGTTAGTGTTGGTTTTCTCATGATTCAACACGCAGATCCACAACTACAACTTCTTTCCTGTATCTAGAACAGACACATCTTTCAGTACATTATTATCAAACAAACAGCAGAGAGCTAAACCAAGACAAAATGGCACAGGAGTGCACTAACCCAAAGCTAACAACAACAGCAATAAATACAATAATTCAAAGATTCCATCGCAAAATACACTCAACACCAAATCCGGCCATTCCCAGAAAACCCCATCCACTCCCACATTTTATACAAATGGTGGCGAGAATAATGCTTTCTCTCAAAAAGAACTGTATCCCTTGAAATTTAGTAAGATAAAATTTTGCCTTTTGTTCATAATTTTTGTTTTAAAAGAATCAGGTTATTTTTCCATTTTTCTCGATTTTGCAATAAATGGATATATGAGTACAGTGAAATCGATGGAAGTATGAAATCTTTTCATTATGTACGAGTTTTCCTATGTACTTGCTTAAAATTGTTTTAAATACAAAGAATATACATACATAAGAAAAAAAAATCTGAACCTGAACATCTGTTCACTATATGCATGGTCCGCAATGTGCAGGCTCGTTAAACTGTGTTGTGTCTTTTACCATGAAGCCCTTCCAATATTTACAACCCGCAATCAAATCAAAGTATTACTCAGTACAAACAACTTCCCTTACCCTGGCCAGGCAATACTAATCTCAGCTGAGCAGGTGATAAACACACACAAGCTGCACAGATCAATAGATATAACCTTTCCATTGATATCATGAAGGGAAAAAAAATCAATACAGAGCATTCCGGGGGGGACAACAGGCTGGGTGGGGGAGTGGGTTTTGTGTGCTAGTTAAGTTAACCGTTAACCGTTTTCACAGATTTTCCTTTTAGCTGACTCTCAAATTTCGCTTGCTGATATAAAGTGGGAGTCTGCTTAAACAGAAATTCGTCAAAATATCTTTGGTTTAGCTAAGTTTGTGGTTCAGAGAGGTTGCTTAAATAGAGGGAAAAAATCACAGATTTTATTTTCTTTGGTATAAAATCTTTTCTAAATAATTTTGTGTTCAGTTTTATACAAACTCTACCGTATCTACTGGAAAACTATATATGCTGAACTCTGCTGGAGCTGTCAGAATTTGTAATCATATGGGGAAAATATACAGCACTTAAATTGTGTGCAAACAAAGACATAATATGCGTTTACATGTATATATAAATACCAAACTTCTCTCACTTCATCAGCATCACCTCTTCACTTTACATCAACTCCAACAGAACATATTATAAGAACAAACAAACAAAACAAAACAAAAAAGAAAGGCACTACCTGATATAAAGCTACAACGAAGTTTTAAAGGACACCATACTCTCACGTTCCCACACCAAACACAAACACACACACACACACACACACACACACACACATACACACCAACACCCACACACACACCAACACTCACACATCCATCCACACATGGTTAGACATTGACAAAAACACAATGACACACTAATGATTATTCACAGTTGGAAAATTCCTCACCAACAGAGAGGAAAGAACAAAACCACAATAATACAATCAGTCAGTGGCATTCTCAAAACAACTTGAAATAACAAATACATACGAGCACACACATACACACCCTGACACACTCACCTGCACATATAGATATCCACCTTCACCCACAAATTATCGCTGAAAACTGTAAACAAGTAGTCACAATCCATCTAAAACAGTACTTGTCAACCTTTTCATGATATCCAGCGTCCACTTTCTAAGCGAGGCATTATAAAACCCCTGTCACTACCCAGGAGATCCCCAACACGTCTGCTGGGACATTTCAGTGACCCACGTTCAAGTGTGGAGTGCCTGCGTGCTGTCAGTATCGCTGACCATTTATGACGCCACAGCGCCAGGAGAGAGAGAGAGAGAGAGACAGAGACAGAGACAGAGAGAGAGAGAGAGACAGAGAGAGAGAGAGACAGAGAGAGAGAGAGACAGAGAGAGAGAGAGAAAAAGGGTGAGAGAGAGAAAGAGAGAGAGAGAGGCGATCCCCATCGCCCACCAAAATGACTAAATCGCACACAAGTGGGCCACACCTCCCAGGTCGGCATTAGCTGATTTTTAAAAAACTCACCCGATGCTTGGGATTCTGTGAGGGCGGTGCTGGAAGTCCGTCCGTGTAGTTAACACCGTCCTCGTTGACGGCCGCTGCCCCGGCCGCGGAGGGCCGAACGTTGGCGCCACACGGGCTTTGGTTGTTGGAGTCGGAGCTCAGGCTCGTCGTGTCCATGTCCGTGGACTGGGAGCTGCTCGTCTCAAACTTGCTCTCGTTGCGGTTGATGTTTGGGTCAGTGGCCGGCCCGTGCTGGGAGAACGCGCCCGGCTGGCCGTTTTGCTGCTCGGTGACCACCACCAGGCTGTCTCCCTTGATCTCGATGCTGACAGGCTTCATGCCTTTGAAATAGGCGGAAAAATTAAATACTGACAAAACCAGTCTTGGTCAACATAGCGTAGAAATTGTCCGAGACGGTCACCCATTGTCGAGGAGAAAAGAGGTTTTCTCATGGGTGGACGTCTTGGACAATATCACAACAATACAGAAAAAAGAAAGAGAGGAAGTGGGAAAGAGTCATTTGTGCAAGTAGTTGTCTTGGACAGGTGGCCGTTAAACAGGTTCGAAAGTGCAAGTATCTTTAAATGACAAATAACCCATGGTAAACCTTATTCATTAGCATTTTGCCGTTATTTTGTTTTAGAAAAGAGAAGCATATAAATTCAATAACGGGGGGCTCTCGTGGCCTAGAGGTTAAGGTGTTCGCCTCTCATTCAAAGGTCCCGATTCGAATCCAGGTAGCGACGGAAAAATTTTCTTCTCTAAATTGTCTCCTTTCACCTCCTTTCCTGCTCTCTGGCAATGGTCTGTCGTCTGTTTTCGTTTCCACTTTCTGCCCCCACCCCCCTCACCTTCTTTGCCCCCTCCTCTGGGCTCCTGACTCTTTCTACAGCCTTTCTACTGCTACTCCTTGGCTCCTCCTTACTGCTGTCTTTCAGCCACACCCCTGATCTTCAGGTTGGAAAGATCTACAGCTAGCCTTCTCAGACAAGGGCGAAAAATCTTGGAGGTCCCGCGAGCAAGTTGCGCTCGTTTAAGATCCCTTGGTGGTCTAAAAACAATCAATAAGAGTAGGCTTCGGCCGCCACACGAGCAAAATTCAAAATTTCCAACCAACTGAAAATGTTTGGTGTGCTCCACGTGCTCATATGACCTTATGCAGTTGTGAGCGCTGTAAAACACTTACCAAAAAAAAACAATAATGTAACTTCTGTCATTTAGAGCTTGGAAACAGCAAGATAGGCAGTTTTAGTTTGGCAAGAAATTAACCGAACTTGCAACACAAACAGGTAATATAAATGTCTAAGATACGAGGTGTTACTAGAGAATAACATACTAGACTGAGAAAAGGAGGATGATATAATATATGTTTGATGGAAAAGAAGAAGCAATCCATACCAGAGCACCTAATAACCAATCATTTAAAATAGGAGGAAAAGATCAAATACTGACAAACCAGATCTTCATTAAAATAGTACTATCTTAATATAAAATAAACCCACCATAAAACCTACAAAATAAATCTGCACTTCTCTGTTCAATTTGTTTGAATAAAGAGAAGCACATTGACACAATAACTGTCATTACAAGCTGGGAAACACAAAAATGGTTTTAATTTTAATTTATTACGAGTTTAATCAGCACTTTTAACACAAAAGTTTTTAGTTTTAGTAAGAGTTTTACGGCACTTGCAATAAACTGAGGGTATATAAGTACCGAAGATTAGAGGTGTTACTAGAGAGTAACAAACATAAAAAGAAGGAACAAACTACACCAGAGCACCTGCCAACCACCCACAAGTACCAAAGATTAGGTGTGACTAGAAAGTAACCCACACACACAAAAAAAGAGGGATAACGACCATGGATATATTATTTGATAGGAAAGAATGAGCAAACCACACCAGAGCATCCCCGACCACCAATCCAGACAGACAGATAGACAGACAGACAGACATACAGGCAGGCAGGCAGACAGACAGACAGACAGACAGACAGACAGACAGACAGGCAGGCAGGCAGGCAGGCAGGCAGACAGGCAGGCAGGCAGGCAGACAGACAGACAGACAGACAGACAGACAGACAGACAGACAGACAGACAGACAGACAAAAAGCCACACAGGTGTGTTATTTGGACCCACAAATGGTAGCTCTAGAGACAACAAAAACCCATTGCAAATAATCAGTAATCAACCCCTGTCATAGTCAGCCTGGCTAATTTGAAAAGAATACCTACCAGTCGCATCTTTATCCCGTACTTTGGCATGAAGTTTATTCCTATTGAGCATTGCAATGAGTTTTTCTTCTGACGTGAAGTCATCGGACGAGCCACCAGACACTCCAATATTCTTGTAATCTGTCGAGGAGCTACCCTCGCAACTGTTCAAATCGTTGACATGAATTCCAACTCGGGACGGCTTCAAGCCAGAATGCACATTTTTCTCATTATTCTGCACATGATTGCCTTCGAGTGAGCCTGACTGCGCCGGTACGGATGGCAGTGGAGGTGGCCTTGACTGCGGCACAACAGAAGCACATTGAGAAGCCAGCTGTTGAGAGGCCACATCAACACCAATCCCAGAGTCTGTCTGCGACTTGCAGCTCGAGCTCAGTTTTACCCCACTCTCCCTAACAGCATCTTCACTCACGAGAGAGCTGTCCGCACTGAAAGCGTCCTCTTTCGAACCTAGGGAGGTCTCTGAACAGACACTGTTGGAGTCCTGGCTCCGCTTCTTACGGTACTTTTCTGAATATGAATCATGAGTACTTGGCGACGGGGACGGGGTGAGGGTAAACGACTCATCCGATTTAGAAAAATCTTGCTTTGGATTTCGCCTGGGACTGATGCGAGGTGTAGCAGATCGGGACTTCACAGGGCTGCTCTCAATACTGTGAGGGTTTTTCTTTAAAGTGGTGTTCGGGATCCATGTTAAAATCAACGTTGGTCGAGATGCCTGGAAACAAAAAAAATACACAAATCTCAACTGTCTTTTGATATAGTGACCTGTAGTAATCTTCACATAAATATTTGATGATTAAAAGGGAAGAACCACAGATACGTCCACTTGTTACGAAAGAAAGATAATTTAAATTTTGTCTTTGAAACCTTCTGCGATTCTCTCTCACCATGTATCTTAAATTGGTGGTATCTCTCTTAAATTGGTGGTATCTCTACAGTTATGCAGTACCCCCCCCCCCCCCCCGCCCTTTATCAAAACCCAAGGGAAAAAAAATAGGACATGTGTGCTTTACCCTCTTTAGTCTTCATTAGTATTTTTAAGCAATGCCACATAAACAGTCCCCTTTATAATATACTTTGAGTGAAATAAAACAAAATGGTATAGGTTTTACACCACTGTCAATACTATTAGGTTACTTAAGAGGCAGGACCTCCGAGTTTAACGTCCATCTCCAAAAGGACCGAGCTAAATAGGAAATTTGCGTAAAGTGCCTTTCCCAAGGACACAACATTGGACCGAGCTGATGCTCGAACCCCCGAACCCGCAATCTTATGATTACAGGTCCGGTAGTCTAACCACTAGGCCAGCGATGCCACCTGAGTAAAATGAGATGTGTCTAGACTTTAATAGTCATTAAAAATACATAACATTATTGACAGCATAAGCACATCGGTGGGAGAAAAGTATGTCAACTCCATCAAGTGGTGGGAGAAAAGTAGGTTAACGCCATGATACAGTAAAAGCAATGTACTACGCATGAATGACTAAATCAGTTATACCTTTAAGATTCTTTTCTATTCACAAACTGTATAAAAAACCAAATAAGACATCCAAATGTTCAGACAACATGGACATACCTGATTTTGCTGGGCTCTCAGTGTCAAGTAGCCTGGATGATGCTCCGTGTCCAGGAGCAGGGAGGCTGGGGGATGCACACACACGTTGTTCTTGCAGTAGATGATCTCTCCATCTAGAGGCGGGGGGCGCAATGAATCGGATCCACTTAAGCCCAGTAAGTTACTGGCTTTCTTAAAAATGGTGCTGAATGCCATTCAGATGAATAAAAAGAGAACCAGCACTTTGGCAAAGTTTCTTTTGTGCTTGATTGTCATAGTAGAAATATCCAGATCATGAATTTTCTCTGAAACAATACAAAACAAAATAGGCATAAATGTCATGATAAATATTTGCAGTACATGTACAGTCAAAATTGTTCAAGACAGTCAAAAAGAAAAGTGGTTACATTAGACAGGTTTATGTCTAGTTCTGTGTCCTTTTTTATAAATAAAAAAATGGGGGGGGGGGGGGGGGGGGAGAGTAGCCATTTATACAGATGATGGTCTTGGACAGGTAGCCATTGGAACAGGTTTGACTGCATTTGCAGTACATGTACTTGTTTGAAGGAAGAGAAACACTAAAGAGGGAAAGAAAAGAAGTAGGACCTACCAGTGGCATCCTCCAACCACCTGCACATATAGGCTACTTAAAGTCCTCTTAAATAAACCGAGAACACTGATGAAGACTAAATGATGAAGCAAAAATATCCTTCAAGCACACAGTAAAATATTACAGAAATCATGCTGCAAAGCATGTCTACTATACTAATTCAATTGAAAATTGTTCTAGGTTTACAAAAACGAAGAATATATACTCTGCAGTGGAGTCTGTGGTAAAGTGGTACATATGTAAGGCTTTCAGACTCTCAACTGTAAGGTTATGAGTTTGAACCTTGTCAGGACATCAATGTCGTGTCCTTGGGAAAGACACTTTACACAAATTGTTCTCACTTTACCCAGGTGGGAATGGGTACCCTGCTATGGACAGCAGTAGTTTGTTACTACTATGGACAGCAAAAGATCTAGTCATTTTATTACTACTGTTTTAGCACCTATAAAAGGACAGGTTGTGCTGTATGCTTCCCAGAGAGCTGAGAATGTTTCTGAGTCATGTCCTAATGTCTGCCTATATTAATGCAAATGCAATTATTAGTATTACTCTCTTAACTATAAGTCGAAAATCAGTGAAGCCACACACAAAAAGACAACAACATCACACACGTGTTCCATAGTTTCTTCTCACACCACAGACAACCTTTTTTTTTGGTGCATCAAAACCTCTAGGATTTTTAATAAATCGTTTTTTCAAACATTCAAATTACATCTAGTTTATTAAAGAGGAGAATAGGCTACCCTTGAAAATAGGATTTGGGTGAAAACAACTCGTAACTGTTTTTAAAGCGTTGTACTAACAAAGCATAAGTCCTGAGGGTCGTAAGCGAAGCCATAAGAAGGTTTAACAAACTGACAATAGGCAGATACACACACCACTCTAGGAAAGGGAGGGATGCTGCTATCAGCAACGAGTTGTGGTATTTGTGATCATTGTTACAAGCTGTGTACTATTATTTTCTTTCATTTTTCTCTTTTAGCAAGCTAGCTAGCAGGTCTCTAATTTCTCTCACTCTTTGGATGTTAAATTAAAGGTCGTCATCAGTTCATGATGGATGAACTATTATTACCATTACTAGCAAAGCATATTGAAATTAGAGAATACTTTATAGCCCAGAAAGCTGCATCACCGAAACAAATTTATTGAATCCAAGTCTCATATAATAAGAATGAGTGGGATCCAAACAATTTCAAAAAGTTGAAAACAATAACATGTAATGTATACAACCCGGTCTTCCTCTGATGGACAGAAAACTATCACGTATCAGTCATTTTCAAGTAGGAGGGTAGTGTGCTTGTAAGCAAATAGGTCACCGGTTAATTCCCTGAAAACAAAGTTTCCCAACCCTTGTTCTGGGACAACTAACTGAAAACCAAACAACTTACCACAAATCATGACTACAGCTAGACAGAAAAATAAAACATTCAATTGTACACATTACACAAGGACTATTCTCTACAATGTGATACAAAGAGTAGATGCCTATCCCAGCTAAAATACCCCACTCAACATAACACATGTGGGAAAATCAATACTGCTGAGGACAGAGACCGATCAGGGCAAGCTGATGCCACCAGGAAGAGTTCACTGTGTTGTCAACATATTTATAAGGGAGAATTCACCTTGATAAACCACATTTGCTGACAGTTATATAAAATACATACACTCTTTTAAATTTTGTAGAAGGGTGGGAGAAATTTTTGTGTTGTTAATTTTTTGTTTTATTAGTTGGTTGTTTTTTGAGGGGGGGGGGGGACTGAAAAAGTAATTATTCTCAAATACACCTTCCATTTTAAGCATTCTCAGTACATTATAATGAGGAGTGCAACTTGGCAGAAGTATGTCACCATATGTTGCCCATCAGAGAACAAGCTGTATAATTTAGTCACTCAAACATGGCTTTGTAAACTATGTCTAATGCTTGGGAAAGGTATTCTTGTTACATCAGGAAGCATATTAGTTTACATTGTACTTCAATGTTTTTTAATTGGTAGTCAAACCACAATGTATGTTGGAAAGTATTCAAACTTCTTACAGTTCTTAATGACGAGCTTGACAAAATTTTGAAGAAAAAATTCTTGGTTATTGAGGAGGGATAGGTGTGAAAAAAAAGCTACAATAAGAATCCCACAATGTGGCACTTCAAAACGCCTAGGCCAATCAATTCCACATACATGATGTCTTAAATCATTTTTAAACCATTTTTACTTGCCCCCATGGTCTTATTCCTGACAAAAACAGAACCAAAAAATCCATTGCTTGCTTAATAAGAGTGAAATCCCATGAGGTACAACAGTTGAACCTGCTCTAACTGCCACTTGTTCAAAACAATGACCTGTACAGACAATCATTGACACCCTCCCCCCCTTCCCCAACCTCACCCCAGTTTTTTAAATAATAAACTGACATTGTCCAAAACATCCACCTAAGACAACAGTTGGCCATCTTGGACAATTTTCCCTCTAAAATTAATCCTAATAACACAATAATAAAATAAACACTCAGTCTACAAGTGCTCAAAACTGTTTACACTTGAAAATGTTGTCAAAAAATCCATTCTGGCCCAATAAAAAGCTCACATTTTTCTTTCGGATCCTATACCCTATAGCAATTTTTTCTAGAGCTCAATCAAAAATAAAAGGAAAAGACATGACACAGAAAGTAAGAAGCCTGCTAGCTTCTATTAGTCACTGAATCTACAAGACTATAATAACGTAATCACATAAAATGTTGAGAAGACCAAGAAGTTCAAATATAGCCCACATCTTTTGCAAACACTTCGTAGGAAGAAAATTTTTATCATGTATCTCAACCTTCCAGCTGGGATGTTGTACCCCTCTCAGTTCGAGTTAACCCCGAAAGGCACGGTCGGGAGCCCAGCTACTAAATGATCTAAATTGTGTCAATGAAAACACCTACATTTTTTAAAAAATACTCTCTCTCTCTCTCTCTCTCTCTCTCTCTCTCTCTCTCTCTCTCTCTCTCTGCTTTTATCTCTTTTTTTTTAACAACAACTGTCGATGCTCCCTTTCTTGCTATTGTCACTGAATATGTGTAGATCTAGCACCCAGCATGCTGTCAATACTGTGTGCCTGGGCAGGTGTCTACTGCCTGCAGACTTGCATAAGTTTCAAACGATGCCAGTGAAAATAAATCAGCCCTCCACAGATTTCTTCCTTTCCCCTTTATTCACCTCGACTCGAGCCACTCTTGGTGGGGCCAGTGACCTCTTTCCCTTTGTGATAATTTTAACTGCTCCGACCACACCACGTCAACTCGCCCACAGTGTGGTCATACCCTTAAACTACTTTTTAAAGAGTAGTCAAGGGTTCCAGTGACAAACAACATGGCTAATCAATTGATCGATATTCATTTGAAGAAGAATTTGATCCAGATTTAAAAGGGAAACTTTACAACCATTTTGTTCAATATTTCGTTGCCACACATTTTCCAACAATATTCACCAGATCTCACAAAGTACAGAAGCTATCTTAAAATTCAAAAGGCAAGTTGTTCCAGAAAGTGCATTTAGATGCAATACCTCAAAATGTGTTGTATTATACCTTTCAATAAAATACACTAAGGTGACTATGTACATGCCATTAGTTCTTATTCTCTTTCACCCCTACCGCTGTTGTCTTTATCGAATCTTCAATCAACAGTATGACATGGTGGTGGTACACATTCTTAAAACTGTCTTCTGGTTTTATATTTTCACCGGCTATTATTGATTGATCAACAGTAATAATCATGAGAGATACTGTAACCATTTGCTGTCTAAAATGATTAAGGCAGATAATTAGACCACTAATGCTAGCTGCCATTATGATCCTACAATAGTCCAGTCCAGAAAATACTTTAGACCAAAGCAAGTCACTACACTTTAGTAGCATAACTGAGGTTCTATTTTTTTTTAATAGGCATTCTTTTCCATCTTAAATTGATAAATAGTGTGTGTGTGTGTGTGTGTGTGTGTTTGTGTGTTTGTGTGTGTGTGTGTGTGTGTGTGTGTGTGTGTGTGTGTGTGTGTGTGTGTGCATGTGTGTGTGTGTGCGTGCATGTGTGTGTGTGTGAGTGTGCCCCATGAGCAGGAGAAGGTAGCCCCCTTTTTTTCACGGAAGATAGGCAGGATTTGAGATTGGATTTAGATCTAGTATTTGGTAGTGTGAGTACAATTATTCAACGAATTCCCAAAGTGACTCATGATCTTGGGGGATGATAGATTGGTTGGTGGAGAAGTTGGGCTCTGTACTTCACTGGATGAGTGTTTGGAGTGGCGCTAGAGGACTTGGGCTTCCTCTGCTTCTCTACACCAAACACAAAAATACTCAAGTGGGGAGTTGGCTACTAAGTACACATTAGACATTCATACATGAAACCAGGACTTAAAATTAGGATTTGGCAAATACAATATGATTTTAGTTTGGTAATTGTTGTAACTCATTTCAGACAAATTTGCCCATCACTAACCTAACCCCCCTACCCCGTATCTCAGAAAGCCATTTTCAAACATATTATAAAATTCCATAACAAACATAAAATTATGGAAAAGACAGAAACTTGAAACCCAAAAGTTTTTTAAAACTCACATCACTGACTTGGTTCACCTCAAGCGCAAAATATCATTACACAATTTGTGAAGAGGAATATGGCTAATCGTACAGATGTGCTCATTCATTTGCATGATTTCGGCCATATATGATATAATGATTGATATAATATATAATGGTAAGGGTAAGGGTTCCATAGGTTTGCAATCTAAGGTTGGGGTTACTGTTAGGGTTTGGGTTCATGTACGGGTTACTCCAAACCTAACCGTTACCTTATTACCTGAAACAAGCAAATGTGAATCAAACATACACATCTGGAAGAATGTTATATATATGCATGCATGCAACTCACATTCACAATATAATAAATTTCAGCAAAATATATTAGTACCTCAAAAGTAAAAATTTGCAACAGTTGTTAAGATGAAACTAGTGTAAAACGGGTTGAAAAGTGTTAATTCTGAGAATGAAACAGAAGTGCAAAAATTTCTACTTCAACAGCTTCAGTTTTTTTTTTAAAATTGTATCTTTTCACTTTCGCACCCGCTTCATGTTCAGGTATTCTCTAGAGCACTTCTCTTGTTAGTTTTTATATTTTTATCTGTTTCACACAAAGTTTGACTAATATCCATCACAAACTATTCAAATTTTTTTAGATATATGGGAAATGCTTTTAACACAAACTATATTGCAACACGCCCAACTGCATAATACTGCAAAATTTCATATGTTTTTAACAAGAGGAAAGGGGGGAGGTGGGGGGTGTCGGGTGGCATGCCCAATGTCCCTGTATTTTACCATAATTAGAGGTTTTGCAATTAGATTTGAGATTTTCTTGAAAACAATTAGCGTGCAAGAGTTTGAATGACCATATCATGTGTGTTCTGCTGCCAGAAATACAGCGGTTTAACCCCTAAAAGCAGTGCAACCTCATAGGGTATCTTAATAGAATTTTAGCCCCCAAAAAATTTGGTACAATTGTACTTTAATTACCATCTCATGCTCTGATATTGAAAGCCGTTTCTTGTTAAATTTCATCCGTTTTACAAGACATAATTAGTAATGACTTAATATCCATTGCAAACCAACAGATTTTGAAATATTTGATGGTATTTATACTAAATTTATTACAAAGCACAACTGCATTGCAATTTCCACATTTTCGACGAATCAGGGGGGGTTTCAGAGGAGCATGCCCCCCCCCCCGTAACAAAAATCTAGGGGGTTACAGGGAAATACGTCGCCATTTTTCCAGGAAAATTTGACTTTCACTACCGCACACAGATGTACTGCTTTGAGGGTCAAACTGCAGTAATTTTTTTTTTATGTTTTCGTAAGTGTTTTACTGCACAAGGTCAAATGAGCAAGTGTGATGTATTAAACAATTTTAGTTTGGTAGGAATTCTGAATTTTGTCCAGGTGACGGCCAAAGCCTACTCTTATCGATTTTAGGACCACCAAGGGATCTTTAACATGCACAACTTGCTCACGGTACCTTCAAGATTTTTTGCCCTTATCCAAGAAAGATAGATGTTAGGTCATACCTATAAGATCAAGGGCTGTAGCTGAAAGACAGCTGTAGGAAGGAGCCAAGGAGTAGCAGTAGAAAGGTTGTAGAAAGAGTAAGGAGCCCGGAGGGCGGGGGGGGGGGGGGGAAGAAAGTGGAGACGAAAGCAGGCGACTGAGCATGGTTAAAGAGCAGGAAAGAAGGTAAAAGGAGAAAATTTTAGAGAAGATAAATTTTCATTGTTTTCGTCATTGTTAGGTTTCGAACCCAGGACTTGCTGAATAAGAGGTGAACACCATAACCACTATACAGTAGTCTCCGCCTAAACACACGGTGCTCGGGAGGGTGCCTGAGCGTGTGTTTATACGGACGTGCGTTTACATGAACCTTTGCAAGGGGAGGAAGGGACGCAGTCATCTCTATTCCTTATTACTCTAGTGATCTCCCTTGGAGGAGGGGGTCATTTTGGCAGATAATGTGACAACACGTGACTGTTTTGTGAAGGATTCCCCGACAGGGGTTAAGAATACAAAGGCGTTGAATATGCACTAGATGTATAAACGTCGGGAACTGATAGCCTATGAGGAAACTGTTGGTCATAGTCATAGAGACGACGGACCAGCCACGTGGTTTTCCAAGCGACCGCCCCCGACCGTAAATTCATGCAGAATCATCCTCGAGAAACATTTGTCTAGCAATTCGTTGAACACGTACGTTATAAGTTCTTCGAGTGCAGCTTATTAGGCTTACTTGGCTAATCTTTTTAAATCCTATAGAGGCCTGTCTAGTATTTTACGGCATTTACACATTACGCGCATCAGGCCTAGATCTATCTAAACATTACACGCAGTCACACAAACTCAAACACAAGTCAGAAACCTTCTCTCAAAGATACATTTCCAGCGACCAATCAAAAAACATTTCAGTCCCCCCCCCCCTCCTCAACATTTAACCGACCAGCCTAAGACAGAGACCTATGCATGCGTCAGTGGAAAGTAGGGTGTGTAAACGCTGTCCGTCACTCTCTTTGCACGGCGTGGGGGGCACTCTCTGTCTACTTCGTAACTTTGTTCCCGGTTACCGGGTCTGTATACACTTCTTTTTTTAAATGGAAGTGGCTATTCTCATCCGGGGTGAGAACAGAAATACGATCTACCTCTCACCCTGGGTGAGACTTGCCAGCGTAGGCTATTCTCACCCGGTGTGAAACAAGACCTGGTTTTCCTCATTTTGGAATACTGTCTATCGGTGTGGATGATCAAATTGATAAAAGCCAAGAAAAAATTACGTTATAGCACAAAAGTAAGTTAATTTGATCGTCTTCAAAGATGCTATGGCTATTTCACTTTTCGAATCGAGCCGAACTATGCGGGTCGCCATTTTGTTTTGTCCGGAAGTTCTCGCAAGATCTACTCCTCCCCTCTCTCTCTCTCTCTTTCTCTTTCTGAATACTGTCTATCGGTGTGGACGATCAAATTGAACAAAACAAAGTTAAAAAATGATTTTGAACAAAGAAAACTAAATTAATTTGGTTGTCTACAAAGCCGGCGAACGAAAATCTCGGGCCGCGCGGGCCGATATCCAAGTGCCTAGTAAATTAACTTTCCGAATCGAGCCGAACTACGTGGGTCGCCATTTTGTTTTGCCCGGAAGTTCTCGCGCTACTCCTCTCTCTCTCTCTGTTTCTCTCTCTCTCCACTGCCCACAGACAAAATTGCTTGCGTTTAGGCTAACAGTAACAACAGTAGTAATAGATCTAGAACGTTTGTTCACAGCACAGAATTCTATAATTTTGTTATCACAGTGTAGAAATCTGTCGTTCAGGGTGAACGCTTCACTGGTTGGCCAAAAGACTCGCCTGCGCTATTCTCACAGGTGGCCTTTTTAAATGGTTTCGCTGACAAAAAAACTTCTTCCGGAGGAAAGGGTGATTGTTCTCTTCGTTTAATTTGACTTTAGAATGAAAGGTGAGAGGTCTTTAAAATAAAAAAAACCTAAAACTCCGCACTGAACGAACCCGAACTGCTGATGAACAGCAGTCGATCTGCCCACGCAAGGAGGTGCTATTCCTATTCTTCTTTTCTGGAAAAACGAAAGAGAGCTTCAAAACAGACTGCAGCGCCATCTGAAGCAAAGAGCGGACTTCCGGCGGACACTTTCTTGGCTGAGTGGCCCATCTTGTTATGTACTATCATCTGTTGGCCTACACAAGTCGGGACCACCATATCATAATATCGTCAATCTATCCAAGTAGTGCCGAATTCTATTAATCTATTATCATTATTATTCTATGTTAAATGAATGAAGAAGGAACATCAACGACGATATAATACCGTCTCTCCATTTGAGTTATCTATACATCTATTCATGTTTATCATTTACAATACCTAGTGCATTCCCCTTCAGGGCGGTTCTTGGTTCTTTGCTTTGGTTCAACAACTGCCGCTACGTAGGAACAAGCAATATTGTTGTTATTCATCGATATACAGCAGCCATTTTGTGATAGCGGTGCACTCACGAATGAAACCGATTGCAATTGGTCAAAAACACAATTTATCCACAGGAAGTTAGACTATATTTTACTCCCGCACAAAATGCTTGTTTAGAAGTACTTAGCAACAGTCAACTCTGCAAGAATGGCGGATGCTAACGAAAGGTTGGTCACTGATTTACAGTTATTTGCTGTTCATGTGTCAAAATATGACACCGAGTTTGTATTTATACAACACGAAGATTCCTAAATAACATATTTTGATTAAATCTAAAATGCATGCCAATTTGTTTCCTATTTCTGTTGAAATGCGTGTTCGGCAATTGAATAGTAGATTCTAGGGATCTTCTATCAGCTGTACCTTATTACTTGTCTTCCTCAATGATGTTTCAGATGTTCTCAAAACAGAAAAAAGCCCTTTTTGCTGATGACCTGGTCCTTTGGTACACTTGAAACTCGACAACAATAAGCAGACGAAGACTACAAGATGATCTGAATTCCCAAGGAATCTATTGCCGTTTATGGAAGATGAAAGTAAATTGCGAAAAAACTGTCTGCTCTGTTTTTACGAGAAGCTATAACATTGCAAATGCAGAAATCCCTCTCAAAATAGATGGTACCAACTTGAAAAAGGAAAATAACCCAGTGTATCTTGGAGTACAACTTGACAGCAAGCTCAACCTGAAACAAAACACCAACAACCTCAAGAAGAAGGCTATGAAGAGACTTAATCTCATCAAATGACTAGCCAGTACCAACTGGGGATCAGACAAGAACACCTTGAGAGGCCTCTATTTAGGATATACCAGAGCTGTTTTTTATTATAATCTTGTTCAACAAAACATTTGCAGTAAAACTACAAAGAACTCAATGGACACCATCCAAAACCAAACTCTTCGTCTTATCTCTGGCGGAATGAGATCCTCACCGACTGCGGCCTGTGAAATCCACACAAATACTGAGCCATTAGAAACTCGAAGAAAATGGGCAGCTTTAGAAGTATATGAAAGATCTAAAAGGCTAGAAAATAACCACCCTAATAGAATCCTTGTTGACAAGTGGAAACCTAATCAGAGACTAAAAATTACAAAATCTGTACTTGACACTGTTCTCAATCTCCAAGAAAAACATCACCTCCCTGAAAGACGAGAACCTCTGGAAAGAGTTCCTTCAACTCTCCCACCACATCTCACTATAGCAAAGCCAGAAATTAGGAAAACACTTTTGGACAAGAGCAATAAAAACATATCCTGAAGCACTAAAACATTCTACCCTTGAAACAATTGATTCCTATCCACCAACATGGATCCACTCATACACTTTAAGGCAACAATCAATGCTGGATATGGGTCAGTGATCAACTTGCCCAGTGGGATAAAAAAAGAAGTCTTTAATTCCAGCGGGTCCTTCTGCTCCAATTTCATTGCCAAACAACAAGCTATCACCAACACAGCTAACTACATCAACTACTTGTTTGACACTAACCCACTTGCTACCACAGACATCGTTATCTTTACAGACAGCCTTTCAACACTAGAGACACTTGAGAGTGGGACTGATGTGAACAAAGATATATTGCACTTGATTTGGAGTCTACATAATTTGATAAGTAGGCACCACCTCAGAGTAGTCCTACAATGGATTCCTGCCCACACTGGGATACCTGGAAATGAAAGAGCTGATGCTCTTGCAAAGAAAGGAGCTAGCCTCCCTCAGCCTGAAATTCTTACGAATTACACCACCTGCTGCCAAATGATCAAGTCAAACCTCAAGGAAGAGTGGATGAATGATTGGGCCACAAGTACGACAGGAAGGAGGATGTATGGCCACATGAATAAACTCGTTAGTCTATCTACGTTGTTTTCAATACTCACAGTTTCGAGTGGGGAACAATGTGTGTGGGTCTTACAAGTCCGGAGCTCCATCCACTGCGTAGACCCACCAGTAGCGTCGATCCCTGCTCAGCCTAGATTTAAGTCGCGGCATGGAAGGCCGATTCAACTTTCGCGTCTGTTTATATACCCCCCATGCGCCCTTATTCTCCTACACTCACTAGGCTAGACTGAGTTTGTCCACTCATTTCACATGCTTGTGGCTTGCCAGGTAATCGCAGCGAATTAGACCACACGTCTGTAAATAGGCTGCCAACAAGAACTCTCAATGAATCCTGATCTTGAACATCATCATAAAATGTAGTTGCCAAAACTCAACTTCATTTTAAAAACCACAACGGTGACTCTTTTTAAGACATACAAAATAATAAAAAAATTATCACATCTAAGTTAATTGCATACTGTATAAGAGTCTACATCATGTTCCAGACATGCATATTACCCCGAACAAACCATAACACACTCAGAAATGTTCTCAGCTTAACTGGAACCATACAGTGCAAGCTGCAGATGAGTGCTCACCACTAACAAATTGACAAAATCTTTCATCATTTATAGCTGGGTACCCATTCATATTTGAGTGAGGGGGCTCTTGTGGTCAGGAAGTACTGTGTTTGCCTTTCCTTCTATAGGTCCTGGGTTTGAATCCTGACAGCGAAGGAAAATTTCTTCTCTGAAATGTTCTCCTTTCACCTCCTTATTCATATTTTGTTGTCTGCTTTCATTTCTCCACTTTCTGCTCCCCCCCCCCTGGACTCCAGACTCCTTCTACTGCTACTCTTGGCTTCTTTTGACACCCCTGATCTTAGGGTAGGTAAGATCTAACTCCTAACCTTCTCGGAGAAGGGCAAGAAGTCTGGGAGGTCCCATGTGCAAGTTGAACACTTAAAAATCCCTTGGTGAATCGATTTTAAAAAGCAGGCTTCAGCCTCTACCCAGGCAAAATTCAAAATTAATTCCTGTTAACTGAAAATGCCTAATGTGTCCTGCACACTCACGTAACTTTATGCAGTTGCAAACGCCGTAAAACACTTACCAAAACAAAACAAAAACTCCTGAGCGAAGTGAGGAAAATTTGCGTAAAGTGCTTGTCCCAATGACACAAAGTTGGGCCCTTGTCAGAATTCACACTCATGACTTTTTAGTTGTGAGCCCAATAGCTTAACCATCAAACCACTGCATCCAATAATCCAGCAGTTTTCCAACTGTGAGTTCGTGAAACATCTGAAGGGCAACCCTTTTATTCTCGCATTCTCTCACCCTCCTCTCATCTCTAGGGGACTCTCGTTGTCAAGAGGTTAAGGTGTTCGCCTCTCATTCAATAGGTCCTGGGTTTAAATCTGTATAGCGATGGAAAATTTTATTCTCTAAAATTTTCTCCTTTCCCCTCCTATCCTGCTCTCTAACTCTAACAATGTTCTGTCACCTACTTTCATCTTCACTTTCTGCCCCCACCCCCTCACCTCCTTTACCCCTTTATCTGTACTCCTGACTCTTTCTGCAGCCTTTTTACTGCTACGCCTTGGCTCCTTCTTACTGCTGTCTTTCAGCCACAACCCTAATCTTTGGTAGGTAAGATTTAACGCTTAGCCTTTTCGAATAAGGCAAAAAATCTTGGAGGTCCCATGTGCAGGTTGCGCTCGTTAAAGTTCCCTTGGTGGTCCAAAATCGATAAGAGTAGGCTTCAGCCGCCACGCTGGCATAATTTAAAATTTCCTGCCGTCTGAAAATGTTTAATGTGTCCCGCACGCTTATATAACCTTATGCAGTTGCGAGCGCCGTAAAACACTTACCAGAAAAAAGTACCTCTGATCTACACCCTCTCCCCTTCGTATCAAAATCAGGATGGCGACTGTTAGAAACACAAAATAACAAAATATGATCTAAACCACTTCAGTAGCCTATATAAAAGGTGACTCAGATGAGGCTTATTCACCCTGTCTTGCAAGTGTAGGCTATCAGTTAGAATAATTTACTCTCTTCAGATTGAAAAAACACACTGAGGACTTGATATTTAACCATTATTGAGTTATTTCTGGAAGGGCATATATCAATTACTATACCTACCCACATAGTTTTACCAGACACTTTCTCACCGATGGTATAAAAGAAAGCCATTGGCAATAGAATGACAACTAGATACTAGATGTGTCCATTTTTGTAGATATGCTTGTTAAAGTGAAGTCAGGATCCCTTTTTCTTTAAATCGAAAAGGGGGATTTGTTAAAAGTCAATTTCCACAAAAAAACAGCGTCTAAGGCAAACCACGATGATAGGTTGAATAAGATGTGAAAGACCACTGTGTTCAGATAAGACGTCTTCATTTTGTAAAGTCAGTGCAGAAAAGCTTTGTTTTCTTAATAAAAATATTTGATGTGCTTTCAGTGTTCCTAACAATGGAGAGGACGGAGTCCCAGCTGAAGGTACTGGTGAAGAGGGAGCTGTTGAAGGTGCTCCAGAGGTAAAACTTTCGTCTAATTTTTTTTTTACTTCTACATAATTGAGATGTGACCAGCTGTAAAGCTAACTAATAGTTAGCTGGATTATTTTTCTAATTATGCAATCAACTGATTAAACACAAAAGGATTTACCTGGGACTTTTTCACCTATATACAGCATGCTGTCATAAAAAGTATAGAATCCCTATTCAGCAAGTATTTTAACTGGCTTCAGTTAACTTAATATATACATAATAATCTTAATAAATACATTTTAAAGTAAATGATAGCAATCTTAGTAAATAAATTCTTAAAATAAGCACCAATCAGAGAACCTTTATTTTTTATGTTTCTTGTGATACTTATTAAGTTTCCAATAGTATGTGATTGATGTTGACAAGTCTGTCTCTCTCAGTCTCTCTTAGTCTCTCTGTCTCCTACTCTTTCTTTCTCTCTCTCTCTCTCTCTCTCTCTCTCTCTCTCTCTCTCTCTCTCTCTCTG